CGGCAAAATGCAACTGTTTGCAACAAAACTTCCCCAAACATAATTTATCATTAAATATAAACATGTCTCTGAGTCGACAATGGACCTCCATTCTCTTTCTCGAACTATTATTTGTTTTTTTTCCCACGTTGATTCAAAACCCTAGACAGAAAGCAGAGGTGGATCACATGATCAATTTAAGTCAGACAGGATACAAGGGGTGGGTTTGGAGTGATCCGAGTCAACGTGGGTGTTTTCTGTACGCTGTGCTCAGCGGGGATCTCTGGCCTCTGGCTTTATTGTGCTCTTTTCTTGGGACTGTTTTTTGGTGTGGGTGTATCCAGTAGTGACGCGCTTCTGGGCTTGACTCTACTCCACTGTGCTGGCACTAAGCTCTGGAGTGGCCTATCAAGCAGACCAGAGTGGACTGGGACTCTGCCAGATTCAGGGAGGACAGCTCCACAGCAGTCTCCATTCATTTGCACACATTTACTTGCCCGCAATGTTCCTGTTTCATTGCTGTTGTTAAATGCACTAAATGCTCCAAAGCACAAAGGGTGATATTTTGTTTTTTTTTGTTTGCTTTCCAATGATTTCCTGCAAAAGACTCAAACGACCTGCAAAACCACATAAGAAATGAAAACGCAATAGCTCACTTTGAGTATTTGAGGGAGCACGAACATCAGCCTCGTTAACTTCCAGTTGCACAAAGGCAGTCTGCAGGCCTGTCAAACCAGCCATGCTGATCTTCATGAGACCCCCCCACCCTCCAAAACTGGCGCTATGAGGACATGAAGCTCAGCACTGCGACTGTGGAGCCCATAAATCTTTACTGTTGTTGTTGCCGTCGAGAGATGACCTCCATGCTGTCATTGAGCTCTGATCAGCATGAGCGTCTGCAGGAGTGACGGTAGGCAGATGGGAGCAAGTTCCACTGGTACCGCTCTGGCTCTGCTCGTTAGCAGCAAATTTAGAGCCTTAATACCCAGAGCATGAGCCGTAAACGTTCCACGGGACGAAGCCATCAATATCAACAGCCTCCGAGTCCGACCACAGTGATTTACAGGGTGCAAGTGTGCGGTAAATTTACAGATTCCTCTTGTATGCGGGTAGTTTCCCAGCAGCAGAACCCCAGCATTTACCAGGCACGCCTTCTGTGACCTTTACGAGATCGAATCTCTCCTAGCCTCATAGCTCCGGCTCTGATTAATGCTACAGTCCCTTAATTTTGATGCTCCTCCACTTCAGGGAGAAGATTTGGTCCCTACATTTGCCTCCTGACCTCAGTCTTAAAGGTATTTCCCTCGATATGAGCTCGGCAAGTGAAAAACAGATGTATTTTGAAGGTGATGGCTGGTCTCCTGCGATCATGAGCGATGATAATGGGCTCCATACGTGATAATCGGCTTCAATGAGGGAATCTTTCCTGGACCAAGTGACACATAATCATGCACCCTGGCCGGTCTCTCGGCACTCTGCACAGAGCACAATCTCTCTCCCGCAGGCTGTGCCCCGGCAGTGAGCCCCTCTCGCATGCATCCACAGCTGGCTCTAATTATATTTCAAAGCTCCAAGACCAGGCCTTTCTTATCCCGTCATCGAACTTCAACCGTTGCGCCCTCCGCCTGTGCTGAGGCCAGAAGGGCTACGGACATAAAAATATGAAACATTCTCTGATTGGGGGGGGGGTCGCATGTTATGAGAACCCAAAGCTGCCCATATTACGTGCTGCAAAGATGCAAGAATGATTCCCCGCCATTAATCAGAGCCGGAGAAATCTTCTAACATCAGGACCGTGCAGAATAACTTGCGACAGCCATTTCGTTCAGGTGCTTTTCACGGCAGTTTGAGGATTAGCTAGTGAATGGAAATAAGAAACTAATAAAAAAAATTACTAATAAAAAAAATTACATTAGGTCTGAAATCATACTACTTATTGCTTTTGCGAAACTGTTATTGCACAAAAATAAATGAATTTTGGTGAATATTCGTAGTTCCGGGAATGATTTTATAATGCGTTACGCAACTTCACCTGCAGACTTTTGAGTTTGTAAGCGGATTGAGTGAAACGTGTTTTCCTGCCGTCTTGCGTCATCGGTTTCATTCTCACGGCTCGCTCACGGCGCATGTGGGACGGCGAGCCCGCCGCCTCCAGCCGCAGCGTCGCATCAATCCGTGTCAGGGTGACGGCGTGCCACCGACCCGGTGGCTCTGTCGACAAGCATTAGCGGCCCCGTGAGCCAAGGTGCAGCGAGCAGGTGTGACACTCCTATGGTGAATCTGCTCCTCTGCCAGCCAGCCCCCACCCCCCCCATCCTCACTGCCGCTGAATCTGCAGCAGGGAAGAGGCTCGTAATTATGATGGATTAGACTGCGGCGCCCCGGCCCTGCCGTGCGGTAATTGCCTCGCAGATGCCGCGGATGTGACACGCATTAATGGCCGCTCTCGCGGCGGCCCAAAATCGACGCTGCCGGCGAGATCTATATTTGCTCCTGGGGAGAAGCCGTGATGTCGCTCGGAGCGTGCTTCCCGTCCTCGCCTCTGCCTGCGGGGGTTCCTCGCTGTGCCACGGGCGATGCTCTCCCTGCCGAAACACGAGGCGTAGGCGCAGAGACGGAGCGCGCTTGGGATGTGTCAAACCACTGTGCTGATGAGGTCACTGCCTGTACCTCAAAAATTTGCCACAGGTGAAGGCTTCGGTTATTGGATTTCAGCAGTGGCTTCTGAATTTTTAAGGGCAGAGGACTCGTCGCACATATACGTCAGGTGTCAGTCTGAGCGAGCTGTTCTAAAACAATACTTTCCGGATTGGGTGCATTGCTTTAAACAGCCTAGAAACGCTTGACCACTTCTGAGCTGTTAATTGCGTAACCCCCCCTCCCCCATGACAGGCATCACACAGCAAGAAGCGGAAAGGAAGTGTAGAACTTGCGCAATGTGAAAAGAGGAGATAGGGCTTGCTTTCTGCTGTGTTGGCTCTCTTTAGCACTGGGCTCGTGAGTCACATGCCTCAACGTCCATCAGTCCACATTAGAGTAAAGACAAGATAGTCCGTCATGGCTGGCTGAGGGAATGGGGGGTCAGTCAGTTATTTGCTTGCATTGGACTAAGGTTTCTCCATACTAGAATAGCCCAATGATATCCTGTGATAATGTTTAGTTAATAGCAAGTTATCATTTATTTTGGTAGCACTGGAAGGTGTCTCAATTTTTTTTTTAGTCAATAATGTCTTTGCTCCTGTATACTTAGTTATCCAGATATATACATTTCTTTGGGAATCCTTGGGCAGCCAGTGTTTAAGATAACACACAAGTGCTGCTCTAAGCTCGGAATACAACAAGTACCCATAATGTCTGTTTAACAGAAATCACAGAACCAACAGCCAGACTGACTAGCTGCCTAGTAAATGAGCTAGTTGCAGCCACACTGTATGTCTCAGTGACGCATTTGCAATTCTTTGTTGAGCATCTCATGCGGTCTATGCATCCCGCTATTGTTCATCTCAACAGAACTATGTGAGTTATGCTGATAGGTTTTCATTACTGAGCAGCTGGTAGGGAATCGCTAACAAGCATCTGGTCGGGTTTCGCTAACGAGCAGCTGGTCGGGTTTCGCTAACGAGCAGCTCCTTGAGATAAAAGGTGAAGAGCTCCCTGGCACAGCCGCTGACACGCTTCGCTATTCCAAAACAGCCAACAGTGGCATGAAACCTCACTGATCCATAGCAACTGAATGTCGCCATGGCGACCCTCATCAATAAGCTGCCAGGATTCAATGCCAGACATTTGGGGGGGGGGGGGACCTGCGGGAAGTGAATTGACATTCATTCTAAATGTGGGAAGAGTTGGGGAAACATCAAAATAAACACACCAAAGTATTTTTATTTTTAAGCATACAAGGCTACAGAATACAGCAGCAAGGGAGGCATTACCAACAACTGATAATACAAAGGAATACATCCAGACAATAGAAAAAAAAATATGACAGTTGCGGCATCCAATGAAAACGACTTAATAGTTTTCCTGGGAATCTTGCAGGCGTGCAGAAGTCAGCTTTGTTGTTTGAGTGTTTGGCTTGCTATGCTAAGACACCTTCCAGTGTGTCAGCCATTTCTATGGGGAGCTTCTTATCTACGGCATTAAATGCCAAAGCCATGCCCTTGGACACTGTTTAGGGCAATGTGAGGAGGAGTCCAAAAAATGTGAATAATTTCCTGCAAAGCCATGACCCTCGATATACGTAACCATTTCACATGCCCAAGAAGCTATAACAGAATGAGGTCTTTATTCTATCTTCAATGTGCACACTTAAACAAAGTAAATGCTGTAGGGGATTACTTTCTGGTGCTAAATGACCCATGGATCTCCTGGTCAAGTTCAGCCACCCAACTGCCGAGCAGACATGCAGTGTGCCTTTAGCTTTCTATAGACACATTTCTTGGCCGGTCAATCTATTTTGAGATGGTCAACCAGGGACACTGCGTGAGCATAGGGCAGCTGTAAGCAAACCGTGTCAGGATGCCATGAATGTTTTGGCAGTTTTTGAAGTGTTGCTGGAGTCTGGCTCACCGAAAATTGCCATGCACGCTAACTGCTGTGGAACAGGACAGACAGTTAGGTCTGTAGAGTGGTCATGTGGTCACCCACTATCCTACAATGACCTCTGTTGCTTTCATATGTCACACAATCGTATAATCTCAAAGTACATTTCGAAAAGGGATTTTAACTCTGTACAAACCATATCCTGTCACCTGCTGTCCATATCCTACTGGTGTTTTTCCCCTGATAAAATTGCCTAAGGGTGCCCAAATAAAATCACAGCAATGTCTTGAGGATTTCCAGAAGGTGGACATCTCTGATGTGCTGAATCAAATGTGCTGCTGGGTTTCTCTTTGCTTTGAAGGAAAAACAAACATTGCATCCAAAAAGAAACATTTATTCACCTACACCCAGATATAACTGTAACCTGTACTACTCACCAAACCTCACATTGTGTCTCTCCTTTTATCTCTTCCTGCCAGGAAGCAGAGGGGGCAGCCTTGTGGATGGACCCAGAGTAGGCCAGATGGAAACAGAAAAGGCCAACCATGAGACGGAAGAAACTCTACAGCTAGTGCAATTCAACTCCGTTCTTCAGCCGGAGAAGCTGGTTGCCAAACTACAGAATGGCAGCCAGTTGGAGATGCCATCCCATCAGCTCAACGGGAATGCCGACTGTCACCACTTCAAGCGTGGTGCTGGAATCAACCGAATGAAGAGGCTTCACGATAGCTGCACCAGTCCCGCTGATGCACAGGATGTTTTTGATCAAGGCTCATGCTTGACGAACGGAGAGCTGAAGCACGCGATCTGCGAGCCAGGGCTGCAGGAGCTTCATCAGGTCAAGAAATTGAAAACGGACTCCAAGACGAACGAGGAGGACAATGCACCAGCAGAGGACGCTGCTCTGGCCTCATGGGACAAAAAAGAACAGGTGGATATGGAGAGTGAAGCAATTTTGCCGGGACTTACAAAGCCTGCAGAGTTCACCTGTGACGTTCTGCTGACAGAGCAGAAGCTGGAGAAGAAAAGCTGCAGCTTCTCCAATGGGGACATCTTCTCACTTTCAAAGAATAAACAGGTGCCAATTTCCAATGGTGCTACAGTAAACTCCTCCATGGGGGACACGCCTGGTGAACTTTTAGAGAAGACATTGTCTCAGTATTACCCGGATCATGTGTCCATTGCACCCCAGAGCATCACAACACAAGAAAATGACATCAGGAGACCACTGGCAAGTGACATGCCTGAACAGGCGACCCCATCACCACCCCATACTTCAGGTGTACCCGTTTCATCACAAATGTCCGTCTCAGGACATCAGAACCAGATACTGCTGGATATGTGCAACAGCAATGTTTATAATGCTCCCTTTTCTGTTAATGGGTACCCCAGTCATGTTGGCAAAGGGCACCACCATCAGCAGGACCAGCCCTACCCTCTCAACCCAGACAGACAGGTTCCTGAGGGAACTGGCACAGTTCCACCCACAGAAGCAGGCAATGGCTCACAGGACCAGAATGGTGATGGCTGCTTCCAGCTAGCAGACCAAAAGGAGTACCTGAAGTCTAATCAAGAGTCCTTGCCTCTCACAATAGCACTCAAGTCCACAACTCCAATGGAGGAGGCTGGCAGATTTAGCCCCTTTTCCAGTGGCACTGGGGCAAGGATTCCAGAAACAGAGGATTCAGAGTCTAGCCACCAGTTCCAGGGTGCACAGATGGGTCAGTGGCCTGGGCAGTATGCAGCAACACAAACGGATAGACCCAAACCATCTGAGACCAGCAGCCAACAGGAGCACCAGACTTCTATGGCACTAACTCAGCCTGATCCACCAAAGCCCAATGATATATCTCTTAGCTCCACAGAGAAGTCATCACCTCCATCTTCTCTGATAGCTAGTCAAACACCGGGCCCTGAGACAGAGAACAAAATGCCTTTTAATGAGGAGGCAAGGGAGGCCACATCACAACAAGGGGGCACTTACCGCAAGGTGAACTGGATTGATTTGAATTCTTCGCCACCTTCACGCCCGCTGGGCCCCCCATGGTTGACATGGGAAAGTCTACGCACGCGTTCGCAACACGAACCGGGGAGAAGCGCGCCAAACCAAGGTCAATCTCCGGGCAGCGGCTCAGTGATGAGGTTTCCTGTGGTGTTTTCCATTCAGTCTGGCTTTCAGCAGCAGGGTAAGCAGATGCCAGAAGCCTACAGCCCTGACCTGGCACAGTCTGAAATGCAGTACAATACCCCCTACACCCGTCCCGGCCAGCCAGCGCAGTCTCGAATTCCAGGCAATCGACAACACGTTCCTTTAGGGCGCAGTGGTTCCCCGGAGCCAGGTGAAAATCCCTTCGGCACCCAGACACAGCGAGAGCACTTAGATGAGCACAACCAGGATATAGAGGACATCCTGTCCCCAAATTTTCTGCAGAAGCAGCAATCACCGCCACCTCACCCACCACAGACAGCCATGACCCAGTGTGCCCCACATCCAGATGCATCTCAACTACAGGACTCTATTAAGAGGCGAGCTCAGACTCATCCCTTGGATAGATTCAAGCTAGAGGAGTATATTGAAAACCAGCTTAAACCTGATTACCAACCGCAAAATCAGGCAGAACAACCCCAGGTAACTGGACCGAACCCATCCTGTGGGAACAACCCGGGGATTTTTGGGCCAAGGCCAACCAGCACACAGCCTCCTCCAAATGACTCACTTTACGGCAGTGCAGATGGTGCTGTGGCTCAAGACTCGACACAGCAGCAGATGCATTATCCGCGGCAGCTAAGCCACACCGAGTTCCAAGAGTCACCGATGCAACCTCAGTCTCAGTTATCACAAGGTGCTTTAAACCCACAGCTGTCAGGGCAGTCAGCCTGCCCAATGCAGCCCAAGGCAGAGGTGCGAGAGTCTTGCTCTCAGTTTCCACGGGGGCCACCCCCAGGATACCCATACGGGGACCTCCAAAGTCATGCTGCCCTTCGGATGCATTTTTACCAGAGGCAGGGCCTTGCTGATGGCCGGCCTCCGCCAAGGGGCATCAAAATCAAGGATGGCCCAAGGTGTGCAGTCCCTCTGCCACAACAAGCCCAAGGAGCAGAGAAGACCACCATGCCATCTGTGAAGCAAGAGCCCACACAGGTACCGTGTGGACAGGGGCAGAGGAGCAGCATAATCGCCACCATGGAGCAGCAGCTGAAGCAGTATCAGCATTCTCTGCACTTTGAGAGGACGTCTCTGGTAATGAAGGATCCCAGCAAGATCAAAGTAGAGTCATCAGGGGCAGTCACTGTCCTCTCGACCAACACAAACTTGAGTGAGGCAGAAATAGTTGCAGCTCTGAAGAAATCTCCAGCAGATAGGACGCCGACAAAGAAGGAGCCTAACCTCAACCTTTTCCTTGAATCTCCCATGAAATTGCTGAACACCCCTGTGAAAACTCAATATGACATTCCATCATGCCGTTGTGTTGGTAAGATCCCTATAGATATAATTTGATGAGCCATCAATGTAGAGTTATGTGCTCCACCCTGCCTCGAGTTTCTTTAATTTTCGATTTAGCTTTTGATTCATGTATTAAATGCTGATCCAGGATTAAGGCAGAACCTTCACCTGTTCAAGGTTATGCAACTGTGGGGAACATCGGAGCTTCCCAAGGAAATGAGCTGGCCGTAACATGTTTGTTTGCTTTGACCAGAGCAACTCAGCGAGAAAGATGAAGGTCCCTACTACACACACCTCGGGACAGCACCGAATATCGCCAGCATTCGGGAGCTCATGGAAGCAAGGTGAAAACTAGACCCTTACTTGCTTTGCCCTAGGTGTGAAAACGGTAGCCCGCTGTTACTGAACCATCTCCTACTGCTTTGTTGGTCTTCTGCAGGTTTGGACAGAAGGGGAGCTGCATCAGGATTGAAAAAGTTGTGTACACGGGGAAGGAAGGGAAAAGCACACAGGGGTGTCCTATAGCTAAATGGGTAAGCCTAGTTAGTGAAGCGCACGGTAGGCATGTATAATCATGCATTATCTCTGTGGTACCCTAGTAAAAACAATTAGACCCCCCCGAATAGCTGACATCGCTCATTGATTTAATTGTGTAGTACGATGTCTGGCACAGCATGCAGCTAAGTCACATCTCTGATTGTTAGCGCCCCCTAGAGAAGAGACAATGGCACAATTTTTTACCAGTAATTCCTATATATTCATAGGATGTTTGTTTACATTTTTTTTTCTCTTCACTGTTAATGTTCTTCGATGCTATTTGAGGTGCAGCTGCCCAGAAAATATGAGGCACGTGTTTGACTTTCTTGGCCGGGTTGCCCTTACTGTGGGGTCTCACTGTGTCACGGCAGGTGATTCGTAGGTCCAGTGTGGAGGAAAAGCTTCTGGTGCTGGTGCGGGAGCGGGCGGGCCACTCGTGTGCGACAGCCTGCCTGGTCGTGGCCATCCTCCTCTGGGAGGGCATCCCCACCAGCCTGGCCGACCGTCTCTACAGTGAGCTGAGCGAGACGCTGAGGAAACACGGAGCCCTCACCAATCGCCGATGCGCCCTGAATGAGGAGTGAGTGCCACCATGGAGCTGTGGTGTTGGGGGAGCCTCTCTGTCACCATAGATAGTCGTGGGAGTCTCCCTTACACTGGATGGGTATCTTTAGCCTGACATGGGAGATAGGCATTAGTCTAGAGGTACTTAGACTACCAACTCATACTTATATGAAGTCCCTAGGCTGACATCACCACTTACACTCCGGTGTTGTTGTACCATTTTTCCTGAGGCGGGGTGGGGCCCTGGTGTCTTCTGTGGCCCTAGGCTATAGCATATGATAGCTTGAACATTGACCCAAGGCTGCATCTCCACCACATCTGAGTTTAAGTAATAAATTAGAGATATTTTTGCATTGGCGATGGAAATATGTGCCAAACTCCGACAATAATTATAGCAAGTACGCGTATATTTAACACATAAGAATAGTTCAACAGGCTCCAGTGGGAATTTGCGGACAAGGGGACGCATTCAGATCGCAGACCAGAAGACCCACGGATGGAAAAATAAACAGTTTACTGTGCAATGAAAGACGTCCACGGAGGCCCAGGCGCTGGAGTTAGCGGGGCAGCCCGGGCTTTCTGTCGGGGTTTGACGGATAGCGTGGCCGGGCCCGAGGGTCAGCGGGCACACCACATGAAGGGCCCCTTGTTTTGGAAATGTCAATGGTCCCCTTCATCCCCTCCCACGGCGGTCTCTCGGGTGGGTGGGGGGTGTATAGTCCTTGTCCAATCTGAATGGAATGTGTGAACCACAGAAAAGCAGTTGAAAATTATGTGGCCACAATTGTAGTGCCTGATAAACATCTTCAGCATATTGTTGCCTTGTTTGGGTAATTGGGAATTGTATACCATTTTTATTTTCTTACCGACGTGACAGTATAACTGCCTCAACATGCCCTCTGGCCATAGGGCAGATTCCCAAACAGGACGGGACATCTTTCCGGGGTGTGGGTGCCTGTGCTGTCTGTACAAGACTAATGTCAGTCATTCTCATCCTCACTCTCCCAGCCCTGATGCAGTCAAAACCACTATCGTCTACTTCCACTCTTAATTACAGAGCAGCTGCTTAGTTAAACACAGTCATCTGTGTTTAACCTTTATTTTGTGCGACAAACACATCCTGAATGAAAAGAAGCCTTTAGGGGCTTGACATACACTGTAATAACAAAGTTAACCCTAAGCCAGCTGGACCTTAGTCAGAATACTGAATGTTTAAATTAGGGATAGAAAACTTCAGGTGACTTGTACTGTCATTAAACAGACATAATGCTTGGCTGCCATTGCCATAGAACAGTGTTTCCCAATCCGGTCCTCGAAGTCAAACAGCTCCCTCCACGCTCCCTGCCAGTCAGTCCACATTTTCGCTCCCTCCCAGCTCCTGCCGGGAGCTAGGGGGGGGAGCAAAAACGTGGACTGACTATGGGTCCCCGAGGACCAGATTGGAAAACACTGCTATAGAAGGTCACAGACAAGATTCAGAAAATTAGACATTTTCATTACCAGGAGAAACAGATGTTATAAACAAGGCCTCAAAACCTGCAGTGGGTGGGATTGCTGTAACTGTCAGTCACCAGTAACATAGTCGATGGGCAGTGAAATAATCTATTAGTGACTGATGGTGCACTCATCTGCCACACCATGAGTCTCCAAAGCCTGGTCTATTTCATTGCTACTTGCAATGTGATACCATTTTCTTTCCTTTTTCCTCTTCTTCAGGAGGACGTGTGCCTGCCAGGGATTGGACCAGGATATCTGTGGGGCATCCTTCTCCTTTGGCTGCTCCTGGAGCATGTACTACAACGGCTGCAAGTTTGCCAGGAGCAAAATTCCCAGGAAATTCAAACTCCTGGGAGACGACCTGAAAGAGGTGAGCCAGAACAGGACAACAAAAATGGGGTCGTCTTTTTTTTTTTGTCCCATCAATCAGTTTCTGTTAGTTTTGAGTTTTGTTGGTCATGTTCTGCTAGGTAGCAAAGTACATATATTTATATATTGAAATGTTTTGGTTTTTGTTTACAGGAGGAAAAAATGGAGCAGAACCTACAGAATTTGGCAACCCTATTAGCACCCACTTACAAGCAAATGGCCCCCGATGCCTATGGAAACCAGGTTAGGATTGCATGGCCCCGCCCCCTCATAACCATAACCATAGTCAATGTAAAACTTCTGAGTGGTCACAAGGCAGGTCTATCAGAGCTGGGTGATAGTTCAGCTGTCCTTCTTCTGGTTGACAGATTGGACTCACCCATAGAAAGGTTTATTAGTACATTTTAGAATAAAGACATCAAAACTATAAAAGAACACGTAGAATTATGCACTGACCAATAAGTATTAAACAAAAAATGTTGGGGGGCAGCTCTGTGGGTTGGGGCTCAGAAGGTTGCTGGTTCAAATCCCATGGCTGGCAGAGTGATGCCACCATTGGGCCCTTCAGCAAGGCCCTTAACCCCAACAGCCCCAGGGACAGGCTGACCCTACTATCTCCTCTACACCAGTTTAATGAGGTGGCCTCCTGGGATGCTTTTCCAGCTGTCCTGAAGGAGCTCCCACATGAATACTAATTGGCTGCTTTTCCTTCACTCTCTGGTCAAACTCCTCCAAAACCTTCTGTACAGTGTTTACGTCAGGTGGCTAGGTCATGTGATGCAACACTGTCACTCCTTTGTAGACAGCTTAGCATGTCCAAACTTTAGACTGTAGGTCTTCATATAGAGATATTGATCAGAGAGAATGCTAGTAATGGATGCAGAACAGCTATAGTACACCTTGTCATGGTTCTAGCTGGTACTAACTGGTTATGGTGGGTTGTTTGCCTACAGTTTCCAGCTGCATGTAAAGTCAATTCCCAGTAAAGACATATTCTGTTTGTGCCCCATTTGTTTCATTTTGCTTGTGGCTGAATTTCTTGACCATGAGCTTCAGCAGAATGGCAGCACTGAGAGATTTGAGGAGAAGCAAAAACACCACCGGCCTGATGTCACTGTTCCTTTACAGGTGGAGTATGAGCACAGGGCTCTGGACTGCCGCCTAGGGGTGAAGGAGGGTCGCCCATTCTCGGGGGTGACGGCCTGCCTGGACTTCTGTGCCCATGCTCACCGAGATCTCCACAACATGCACAATGGAAGCACAGTGGTGAGTCTCAGACAGACCCTAAGGTCCCAGCAAAGAGTCGCTTCTTTGGTCTATGACAGCATGGAAGCAAACACAGACATCTTGCAGTTCTGTCCATATGGGAGAGGCAAAGCGCCACGACTACGACTATGGAAGCTCTTCTCCTCAGTTCCAAAACACCCGACTCCACTGACTCAAATCATTCACTTGATATGTTCCTCAATTTAACTTGAAAGCTTTGTAAAAAAAAAAAAAAAAAAAGTTCCATCTCACTGAAAATGAATTTTACTCTACATTGTTTAACCTTTACGTTTAAGCCTCACAGACTTCTTATTAAATTCTGGATAACGTGCCATAAGAACCTTCCACTACTCATTGATAATAAATATCACAAATCTTTTTAGGGGATTATGCAGGTGCTTAATATAATTTTGAGAAGATCACACTCTAATTTTATAGGAAACGATGTAATTTTCTCTATTCAGGGTATCACAGTATTCCCAGTGAAAGTACATTACATTTCAAACACTAAATACTTGAAATTGCAGTGCATACGTTTTCCGTGGTGCAACATGAATTGGAAAAAAAGTTAAAAATCAGACCTGTCATCTTGCAACATTATGCATCAAAGGACATGAGCATAGTGAGATAATACTTAGGCTCTTCCTGCACTTCCAGGTCTGCACTCTGACACGGGAAGACAATCGGGAGATTGGGAAGATTGCAGATGACGAGCAGCTCCACGTGTTGCCGCTGTATACAGTCTCCCCCACTGACGAGCATGGCAGCGAGGAAGGCCAGCAGGCCAAGATGAAGTCGGGTGCCATCCAGGTGCTGAGCTCCTTCCGTCGACAAGTGCGCATGCTCGCTGAACCGGCAAAGTCGTGCCGGCAGAAGAAGCTGGATGCTCGGAGGACAGCGGCAAACAAGCCGTCCAATCCCGATGCAGCTAACACCAAGGCGGAAAAGACCCTCCAAGCAAAACTCAAGCAAGGCACTTACGAAAACCCTGGTCAAAGCACTCCTGTGTCAGGTACGGATGAGGGTTAGCATTTAGCAAAAGCAAGTGACTGACTGCTTTGTTTGATGTTCCTTGGTTTCTCACTTATCGAACTCTGTTGCCTCAGGTTCTCTTCCGGGTCAGGGTCAAATGGTAACCCCCCAGCCTGCTCATCAAGCACACCCTCCTGCCATTCAACAGCAGCAACAGCAACAGCAGCCCCAGCAAACCCATCCCCACCCCTACCCTGGGTCTCCCCATCCAGCCAGCTACCCAAGGTTTGCCAATCATGTAGATTCCTTTCCTAGCACTTCTCAGACAGCAAACACAATATATCCGCAGTCCTCAGTATCTAGTAGCCCTTACTCTGGCCCTTTGCCTGCACCAAACACTTACCTGAATGGATCAAATCCTGCAAACTCTTACCCTGGTAATCCTCAGAACCCCAGCAGCCTTTATCCAGGATACTTCTGCAGAGGTAGTATGCCCATGGACAGCTTCCACCCATATTATGGCTCGAACCCAAAGCACCTTGACATGTACCGGCTTCAGAGGCCCCAGCTATACCCACAACAGCAGTACGGTGCTCATCAGGCCTATGGGGTTAGCCTCCCTGCCCGGTACAGCGAGTCAGGTTTACAAGCGAATGGTTACGGTGGCTCTGCCACCAAATCCAGCATTCATCCCATGGGTTACCCAACGTATAGTCCCAATGGTAGTCCTAATCCCCAGCTCCTGGAAGCTATCTCTCGACCTCCTCTGGAGCATCCAAACCTGGATTATGCCAACACAATGAGCAAAGGCATGCAATATGGTGCATACCCTAATCCCTACCTTGCTCAGAACTCTACCATGTTCTCCCCAGGCCAAGGTCCACTTAATATGCAAAACAAACCCAATGCAAACTTGCACAGCATTAGTGCTATCCCTCAGGTGCTTCCACCTCCCGGTAGGGAATGCCCAACCCCCACACAACCAGGATGTGGGCTCCCTAATGGAAATGCCCAAGAAACCCAAATAAAACAAGAGCCTGGACCACAACCTCCAGATCCCAAACAGAAGGAGGATGTGTGGTCAGACAATGAGCACAACTTCCTGGACCCAGAGATCGGGGGTGTGGCAATAGCCCCCAGTCATGGCTCCATCCTCATTGAGTGCGCCAAGCGGGAACTGCATGCCACCACACCCGTGAAGAACCCCAACCGGAACCACCCCACCCGCATCTCACTGGTCTTCTACCAGCACAAGAACATGAATGAGGCCAAGCACGGGTTGGCGCTGTGGGAGGCCAAGATGGCCGAGAAGGCGAGGGAGAAGGAGGAGGAGGCTGAGAAGCATGGTGCCGAAAGTGCACCAAGCAAAAGCAAGAAGGTCAAACGGGAACATTCCGAAACGGTGGAACATGGAGAACCCCCGTACAAGCGCTTCATTCAGACTCTCAACCAGAGGTCCATGTCTTGCACCACAAACACGTATGTCAGTACAGCTCCCTATGCTTACTCCAAGATCACTGGGCCTTACAACCGCTTCATTTAATCGGTTACCTGGGTTTACGGTAAATGGACACAGGGCTGTCACGCCTGTACTATGGGTGCTGTGTCACATCGAGACCTCAGTGTCTCTATGTAGTTGCCTACTTCATAAGAGTGGCTGCATTTCTGTGTCCAATATGGATCTGCGAAAAGGGTTTAACTAATTGCAAAATACTGTAGAATACACAGTTTGCTCAGCTAGAATCAGGTCTCCCTCTGATGTTTAAGCTTTACTAACAAATATTTATGGCAGTATTTATTTTGTTTTCATAATTTTACACAACATACTGTACCGAACTTCTGGTGCTCTGTGTCCTATACATCAGGACGTATATTACTGGAAACAAAGTTTCAATTTGGTGGCTTTAATTTTTTTTTAACTAAATAGATATCTTAAAGTAAAATGGCATAGAGTTCTGATTTCATGGATTATCTGATTCATGGTGCTAAAAATTGAAGTGTGTCTTTAAAATTTGCCTTCATAAATGTATGAATATCTGTTTGTATGTTACTCTTTAAGGTGAACAAGCAGTTCTTTCGAGTGACGTTTTCTACAATTTACAGATAACGTAACATATGCGTGTTCTAAAGCACTTTGGCTTTCGTCGAAGGTAAAAATGTTTTGATCTTACCTTCAAATCACATGATTGCGTTTTAATGTCGGAAGTGTGAGTTGGACCGTGGGCATCCAGGTTCGTTTTCATTGTTGGCACAGTATAATTACATTTAGGTCGTATGTTACAGCTGGGATGGCACTGGATGCAATTTTCACACAAGCGTTTATCATGGTGCTTCTTTGACATTTGAAAAATTAGAATTTACATTTCCTTAAATACATTTGTGAGCCATTCTAAAGGTGCGTTTTTCAGAACAGTAATATTTTAAAGACATAGTGATCACCAGCGTGTTTGCTCTGCAATTCTTTCACTTCTTTGTAAAAAATAATTAAAAAAAAAAAAAAAAACAGTTTTGTGGCTGACCGCAGGGAGATGCTAGAGCCAGTGTGTTTGCAGTACTACATCTCCCAGAATGCCACGATAAACACGTGCAGCTGTAGAACTTCAGAGAACGAATCACGGCAACGAATCTGACCTCTGGCTTAACAGTTACACAAATTATGTGGTTATTAAAGAAGGTTCTCATTTTTTTTTGCTGCATAGTGAGGTCCGTGGAACAGGGTTTTCTGTATTTGTGATGATTTTACTGGCAGCTGTCCTGCTGTGGGGTCTTAATCATTGTAGGTTAGTTGTATAAAAAAGTAAAAACTTTGTACAGTAAATTAAAACTATTAAATTTACGCTTTAGATTTTAGTACTGTAAAGTAATATTTCATTGGGTTTTAGCTGATTTTGTTTCAAATGGTGCTATTCAACCTGCTATGAACCGTGTACAATGTGAGAATTTTTGTCAGAATGATGGTTAATGAAAGGTATGCCTACTTGTCATATACCTCAGAACTATTTTGGCAATATGATTATGATAAAGATTAAGCTTTTTTTCCCACCATGATCTTCATAAAACACACCAATGAAACTTCATGTTTATCATGCATCTTCACGTGCAAATGTTCAGAAAGTAAAGGCGAAATTTGTATTTTTTAAGCAACATCAGGGATATTTCAACACAGTCTTCGTCTGCCGAGATCACTTGTGTTCATCCCACCTTTTCCATTCGTCCAGGGATTTGACTTCTGTCTTTTAAAACCCCTCAACTGTAAATATTTCAATGAAAAAAAAAAAGTTTTGTTTTTCAAGAGAGAAGCTAGTGGAAAGTAGCCTTGTCCTTGTGTTTTAGTATATCTGTTTGCATATTTTCAAGGTGCAACCTGAACATACTTGCACTGACTTGACAAAAAGGGAAAAGTGTGGCTTTGACTAAACAGTGGTATGATGACTTTTATTAATGAATAAAGCCCAGGGCAGTTTTAACAGAAAATGCACACTGCCAGTGTATAGGTAAAGCAGAAATTATTTATAACCACTAGATAATTAGCTTAGTGGGCTAAGTCTCTGTGCCTGTGATTGGAAGGTTGCTGGTTCGAGTGGTTCTTCAGCAGGACCCTTAACCCCCAGCTCCCTGGGTGGCTGCCTTTGGTGGCCAGTTTGCTCTCATCTACAGAGAGCAAGTTGGGGGAGGCGTGAAAAGAATTTCCATAGGGGGATCAATAAGAAGTATCTATTATTTGACACATGCTTTTCTCTTTACAATTCATTGTGATTTTGGACGGACAGCGGTTCTGTGTAACAAGAGTCCCATCTGGAAACATTTATACACAAAACTTTTTCTGAAAGCACTTCATTTATTTTCAGAAAGAATTTGAAATGAAAATTAAAACACTATCTACAATAAAAAGGTAGTTTAATGTAAATGTGTGTTAAATGCCACAATGTATATATATCACATAATTTTAAATTTTAATTTTGAAACCCTTTGATTGTTATACAGTATGTCAGTATGGAGAGGCTTAAATGTCTGACCTACCCCAAGGACTTCACTTGCAAAATAATACAACATAGATCAATCCCTAAAGTTAATATTATTATTATTATTATTAATATAACATGACGTACGGCTGTCCGTATCCGTGAAATAGAGGCATGACAAAAAAAAATCTGTCACAATATATTGACATTTTCAGTACTAGGTCACAGCTACTTAGATCAATTTGATAAGTTTTCATAAAAATCTTTGGTAACACTTTACTTACCACCATGTTCTTAGTAATTTATAAACACATAACAAATAATGATGCATTCATAAAGCATTATAAACATGGCTATAAATATTTCTCAAAAGGCATAACATATATATCCTTGTGTATTATGCATTACGAATGCTTTATGAAGCTCTCATCTATAATGCACTATAGATACCTTTATAACACATTATATTGGTTGGTATAAGCATTAATGATGCTTTGAACTGCATTGTAAAGGTATCTATAATGCATTATAAATGAAAGCTTCATAAGGCATTCATAATGCATAGTAAACATGGCAATAATGTGTTATGCCTTTTTATAAATATAGCCGTGTTTATAATGCTTTATGAATGTGTTATCATGCATTATGAATGTATTCATAAATTACTAAAAAAAAAAAGGCATCAAAGTGTTACCAAAACGGTTTTTTGCCTGTTTGGTGAGACAATGAAATGTAACGCTCTATGTAAGGGAGTGTGGCGGCAGGTTTGCGGTGGACCAAGGAAGGATTTGGAGGACAAGGTGGGTATTTAGCATCGTCATACTTGAAGTGACTGGAGTCAACATTACTTGAATGACTATGAGGTTGACTAAAGTGGGCGAGCTCTCACGTTAAGCTAGCAGTCATTGTACACAAGTGTCTGTATTTAGCAGTTAGACACTAAATGAGGAAAAAAAAAAAAAAGATACGCAAATTTATGTTATTTACAGTTTCTTTCCCTTATTTTCTACTGCTTCTCTTGTTCCCCCTGATGTTTGGTATGATACACAATGAAATTACGGACAGATATAAATACTGTAAGTATTGTAATGTATTGAATGCAGTTTATTTGAAAGCTGTTTATTGTATCATTACTGATATTGCTGAGATGTGGGTGTTTTTAATAAAATTTATATTTATTTAAAGCACCTTCTGGAGGTGATGCGTGTCTTTTTCCTATGAATGTGAGTGTGCGTGCATGGATGCATACATTTCTATATTACTGGACTGGTTAATAAAATGAAATCTTTTAAAAACGACAGACAGAATCGTGGTTAGTCAATGAATTAAATGTTCCGATTCCAGGAATTCTGAAGAGATGCGTTTGTAAATACTTTAAGTATTCATAAAATTGATTCTTTGTATATGATCAGACATTAACAGTTCCAGATATGAAGCGCTGTTGACAATTACTTGTCCCAGGTCCATTTATTTGGAAAATTAAGGGGAAATGCTAATACTGGATAAATTACAAAAATGAAAAATATGCTTTTTAGCAAAGGAACATTTTGGTTTTCGAAGGCAAAGAAACATTCTGAGTATCCATTTCCACTGAACATGTTCGCATGTAAAGGTCATTCAAAAGCATCAGAAATACAGATAATCCCTTTAAGGAATATGTATTACATTAATCAAAATTACAAATAAGACCTTAATCCCAGTCGGTGGAGTGTGCATATCAGGAAACCAAAAAGTTCATTTTTGTATTCTCTCTATGGTGCTTAAAGCCATTCAGTCGGGTTCAGTTAAACACATTTCCCAAACTCCCTGGGAAAATTTAATCTGCAAGAAAGCAAATCATTTCTGATCGCCACTAAACCTGCCTCTCCCACAAGTGATGACAAAAAAACATTTAAAATAACCACTATAATGGACTCGAGGCAATTAAGGAAAACCTAACCTGCCCCGTCGGCGGCTAGAATAAAGCAATGTTAAGCTTTCCGTCTGAAACAATTCCCATACAAAAAGGTATTTCTTCTTTACAAAACTAAACATAAAAGCATAACAAATCAGTTTGGTTCTTCAGAACAAGAGTATTTCAATGCTCCAAGAGGGATGAATTCCCATAAACAGCCTTTAGCTTTCAACAAGGCTTGGAGGTCACTTTGACAGAAAGTGCCATTTGTCCACTGTAAAAAAAATAAAAATAAAATAGTATAAAAAATAAAAGTCTGTGCATTTGACAAAAATAAATTCTCCTGAGCATTATGGAGATTCAAACCCATGTCCCACACCTAGTTCCTTAACCACTACCCCAGGCTAAGAACATCTTTGAAACTTGTGCTATAGATGAGAAGGACAAGTATCCAGACAGTGATAGGTGACAGTTAAAAGGCGCTTACCTTCGCTTGGGATAGGAGCAGGTTCTCCACACGCTGGAGCCTGAGGGGTAGGGAGGACAGAGAAGTAAAGGGGAGGGGGGCCACGTGCTTGAATGGAACTCCTGCAAGTTCCCCCTCGAGCTCACATCCCACAAGTGTGAATATAACCTAGCTGGATCTCAAGATTCGGGGCTTCAACTATTTGCGATTTCACGTCACACCTGAAACAAACGTGACGTGGTCCCGTTTACAGGTAAAGGACGTGGTAAACGCAGGTAGTACTCACCGAGGTCACCACGTCGCCGGCTTCGCTCTCCGTACACCTGAAGGGGCTCTCGCACACGGACAGGTTTGTGCTGTCGGGAAGGAACAAGGCCACTTATTCACTGGGATTCAAACATCTCCGTTTTAAAAAAGTTCAAATGATGAAATTCACAGAAAGATGACAAATGTAATACTGAGAGATGAAGGCCTCCGGAGGCCAACCATTGGCTGAGTGTACAGCCAATCAGAGCATCCTGTGTAAAAAGAAAAAAAAAACCCTCTTAACTCACCAGTTTATTTCCCCTCCATCTGTCTGTTTCTGTACCAGTGCCTTCCAGTACTTGTGAGTGGACTTTATAACTTCAATGGCAAAATCCTGAAAGCCAAAATCCCACATCCCCCCCACCCCCATGGGACGTCAAATTTTCCCTGCATTTGGGTTTACAGAGTTTACTGGCATAAAATATAAATGATAAAATCACGGCACCATGTAGCATTTCAGGTACCTTGTCCCTGATTTGACCACTGAAGGCAAACCGGTTCTCCGGCTTCCCGTCCGGAACCTTGTACTTCTTAAACCACTGGACCGTGGCTTCTAAATGTCCGGGTCGGCTCTTCTGGACATCCTCGATACCTGCAGCGGAAAAAGCAGCAGAACAGTGATCAAATGCAATGCTGACTTAGGGAGAACATCCGCGAGCAGCAAAACGTCTGGTGAGGTTATGCAAGTGGTTCTGAACCAGGAATTTTGAGCTCACTGTTTAGCATGGAGGCATCCGGGTCCTCCATGTTAATGGCGATTACTTTCCAGTCTGTCTCACCCTCGTCGATCAAGGCCACTACTCCCAGGACTTTCACCTGGATCACCTGTCCTGCAGAGCACACCTGGGGGCACATTTTAATGCGGGCCGGTTCAGAAGACCAAATGGCAATTTTATCGCATCATTTCCTGCCATCGTGTCTAACCTTCGTGCCGATATCACAGACGTCGATGGGGTCGTTGTCACCACAACACTTAGTGTCCTTGTCTGTGTGGCACGGATCTTCCCAAGTCTGATGCAAAAAGAGGCCACGCCTGAATTAAAAACTGACTTCCTGTCTGAACGATTACGTAAAAAAAAAAAAAAAAAGTACTTCAGCTTTTGCTCTTCTCTACGCATTCTGGACAGAAATAGGCTTAGGATGGGGTGATTCCACCCATAATCGCTTCTCGGACATCACTAACGTGGCTGTGAACCTACTTCTCACCTGCGGGAGAGCACCATAGTTCCAAATATAACCCTTGTGGGGAAAGACGTTGGCGACATATCGAAGTTTCCCTTTTTTCACGTCCTGCTTGATCGGGTTCAGTGGTTCTTTGGTGGCAATCTGGGGAGAGATCACCGATAAACACCACCGGCACAGGGGGAACGGATCCGACACAACTCCAGTTACTGAAAATCACCAAACCACGGCAACAGCGATGGATGTCAATTTTTTTATATGCGTAGAGGAAGAAAAAAAAAACTAACGAGATTAGACCATCTTCTCCCGGCATCTTTATTCGCAATTGTATTTATTAGATTCCCAGAACTTGCACGGCTTGAAATGAAACAAATTTTCCAGACGCTCAAGCCCCTTGGTAACTATTTGCGAAGAATGCTTAAATATCATCGCGACCACCAACGGACGGTATTTTTAGGAACTTTATTACTACAAGTTAATCAATTCTCTCTTATTGTTTCCGAAGGGGGTTATTAGCTAAACCAGATTCTATCTCTGCTGGGGAACGGTAAGGCAGTGCTGAAGGGCACAGAAGATATTTTATATCAGACCCAGTGAAGACATGGTATGACAAGAAGGAAATGAGATGTACGTCAGACAACTGAATGGAAAAAGCAGGCAGTGGGTGTACATTTCCAATCCTCAAAAAAAGAAACGTTACTTGCCTCCATTTTCGCGTTCGACCAGCGTGGCACCTCCACAACCATATTAAACAGCACCTGGAAGAAAGGGAAGATGCAGGAGAAGGTCTTGTTGATGTGGACGTGGAAGACTGGCCAACGGGAGGGTGCTCCAACAATTTCGGAACTCAACATGCACCATTCACGTAAAAAATTCAAGGTATTTTGTTATCATGCGTACGGACTATACTATTAAGTTATTCTTAGCTTCATAATTCCGACAGACCACTGTGCTCGAATAATTCCAAGGCAACAGATACAAAACGAAACACGGAAAGCAAAACAGCAGCCAACAAAAAAAACAACAAACACCACAAAATAACGCCATCATTCAAAGGCAGTTTGCGTATTCCTACGAGAATATTGCATTGGAGTCAATGTGGAAAATCGCATGGGAAACATTGCTGCAGTCTTCACAAGCAGTGGTTGAGCTCAAGGGCCAGAGACCTACCTCATTCTCGCTCATCTTCACTTTCTTCGATGAAGGAATGTCATTTTCCTGCAGAGGCAAACGTAGCTTTAAACGTCCGAACGCTGCAAGATGCACGGTGAGATCCGAGCCCGTTCGGAGCATAGGCTTACCAGCTTGGACAAACACACAACATGCAGGCTGTCACATGACACGCCACGCATCCTTGATCACTAAAACAGGGCATGCTGACAACACCCACAGTCCGTCTAACGGCCGTCAAAAAGGCCAGCACAGACCACTATTGTCCCGGCATCCGATTGGCTCCTGTCTGGTTTGGAAACGGGTGGAAATGTAGGCCACATCGCTATTGACAGGAACCCAGAAAAAACACTTAACCTTTCCCTCTGTTCAATTAACATTTTCCCCCTGTCGGTTTAAATTATCTCTTTCGAAAGGTTCTCGTGCTTTATGGTTGGAGGCAGAGAAATCAATGCAGAAAAAAAATGTCTCCACCCCACATTTTTCTGCCTGGCATTTGGCCCCCTTAAAAAAAGGACAGCAGATTTCTGAATGTTCACTCTCTCTTTTGATACGTCACTCTAGAATAAGACTTATTTACAGTATATTTTTTGGGACAAATGGATAGCATGGATCACATGGATTCTGAGTGGGTGACAATGCATCCTCACACCTCCAGGGTTGAAGGTTCGAATCCCATCTCCACTCTGTGTGTGGAATTTGCATGATCTCTTCACGTTATGTGGGTTCTGCCTGGTAATTCTGCAGAACAGAGACATGCGGGTAGGTGGAAAGGTGTCTCAGATTGGCCCACAGTATGTGTGCATGTGCCCTGCGATGGACTGGCATCCCGTCCAGGGTGTCCCCCGCCCTGTGCCCTGCGATGGACTGGCATCCCATCCAGGGTGTCCCCCGCCCTGTGCCCTGCGATGGACTGGCATCCCATCCAGGGTGTGCTCCCGGCCCACAGCACCCATCCCTCTCTAGGATAAGCAGTAGGAAGGTGGGTAGATTATATACTATATGAACAGCACAGTAATGGATCAAGCAGGTTCACTCAATAAATCCCAGAATGAGATCAATGACATACATCTGGGATTTCAACGCCACACAGAATTTAGCGAACCGCGCAGGCATAATCAAAACATTAGGGAAAATGTATGACAATTATTTACTTGCTCAGCTGCAGCAAACAGCGGAATGTCATGGAAGGGCGAGATGTATTTCCCATCCGACGTTTCTGAAGATAACAAGATTAAAATCAAATCATTATCGATTCATCACTGATTACATTCAATTATTTTAAAAGCCCTCAAACTTACAATCAAAATTATTTTTAAAAAATGTACAGGGGAGGGGGTGGGGGTTTATATTTGGGTATTGCTATTTAATAGCACTTCAGCTGTTAACGGCTAACCACAAACAATTCAAAGAACATTTCTAGGAATATTAGCTCATAAGTCATACATCGATTCCATGTGAACACCTGCATGATAAAGGCATGAAGGGAGGAAAAGTCCATGTGACCTTATGCAGAGATCAGCTGACAGCTAACAAGTCATAATAAAGAGTGGTACCATGTTTGTATGTACACAGTATGCATGCACTGTGTGTGTGTGTGTGTATATATATGAGGAAATATATAAACAAAAAATGACACTATATTAAGGGAGCAGCCCTTTATTGACCAACATTTGTTGTTACCACAAGTTTTACGTCTTGGAACAGGTTCCAACGTGTTCTGCACAGAACTTAAAGCGCGCTCAAAAAAGTATGACTCTGCGGGGATTATTTAAGGATACATACCCACATCACTGGTGTAAAACCAGTAGCGCAACACAATGTCTATAACGCATATGTGTACCAATACCGATCAGGTCCAGCACGTACGGTCACAGGGTGACTTTGTCAGGTCACGTGGAGACCGCGAGCAGCCGCTCGTGACGTTAAACGCAGCGCGCCACGGCGCCTGAGCAGCTCGCTCGTCGCAAAATACGCATTTCTGGCGCCGCTCACGTGCTTGGTCGTAACCTCGACCTGCATTTTTATATAACCGAATAATTATCGGTATGACTCGCGAACCTCTCTACAAAAACGCCGTTTCGAGGTCATGGTGAACAAAGTGATTAAGTTAGCCACCCTAAGCACCTAAATAGCGAAAAAAATAACTGTTCAGCAGGGTATTTATAAGTTGAGACGTATCCGCGGTTGCCGTTGAGGAAAAGGAGTAATGCGAAATGGTGAATGTATCGACTGCAGTTAAATGTCGTTTCTAAACCAAAGCCGATAGTTAAGGATTGTAGTTAAAGATGCATGCGACGCGGTCACTCGTAGGCGTCATGGTGGATATAAAAACCTCTAATGAATGAGCGTCGCTAAGCTATCGCCATAACTTACTAAAATAAATCCTGTAGTCGGCTGAGTTCGGGCGTCCTCGCTCTTCTGTTAAGTAGTGCACCATTTTTCTTAAGTAACAAAGGGACCCTTTTGAAACAAGCCCGTTCCCGGGTCTACGCCGCGGACCGAAAAGCAAAGCAGAGATTCTCGAGCATGAACCCCAGAGCAGACGCATGCTGAGCCGCTTCTAATCGGCGCAGCCCCGGCGTTCTCTTCCTGCCCGCGCCGCGGCTGGTCTACGAGCGCCCCCTAGCAGGCGCTCGGGGTACTGACGCCTCCCCCTGAAAGAACATGGGCGACCTCTGTCAGAAAATGGCTGACATCCCACAGCTAGGAAGCGTAACCTACGCCATTGCAACGGCATTTACCGCAGAGGTCAACCAAATAATAACCTAATTACACAGTGGGTTTTTATTAATGTGACTAAATACGACCCATGTAGAGACAGCACTGCATAAATTACCGTAATAGTCTACAGTTCAGATAAATGGATTTAATGTTTTACTGCCCATAATCTCAATGGCTTGGGATACAATAATATTCATTCTGTACCTTCCTTAGTTTCCTGTAGCTATGTTAAACGTACATTGTATTATCCGTGCAGTGTTACGATCAAAGTCCTGTCCTCCGCCTCAAGTTTTGGGTGGGACTGTACACTTTTTCAGTCAAGGTCATCACGATGCATTTTACGAGCTTTGGTTTCTGAAGGACTGTTTACCTATAAATACAGGATTTCTATATGTGTGTGTGTGTGCGTGTGAGAGAGAGAGCAAGAGACACCCCCACCCCTGTCAGTTATGTCATACTGGTTAGTCAACGGTAGACTGCTGTAGGACAAAGACACCCCCACCCCCAGTTTAATAGCCTGCTCAGTATTGCTTATAGTATTGGTGACATTGTGGCCATTTCCAGTAAAGGAATGATGCTTGATGACCATTGATCTTTTTTGTTTAACTTTGACTGCATCGGGGGTTAAGACAGTCTGAGCCAACTGGGTTACAGCACTTATCCCCGCTGCTGGCTAACGTGATGCACGTTTCTGGAGCCAATTCCCACTGAGCGCCCTCTCCGCCGCCGCCGCCGCTCGTCTCGGCGATGGTCACCATAGAAACAGGCTATCTGCTTTGTAATCCTTCCCTGGTGTCTCTTTCATTTCCACCTCATCACGGAGGAAGTCGTTTTGATGGGAAATAATTACGGCTGCGTTTAGGGGCTAAGTCGTTATCCGCTCTGCGGGCCAGCGCGGTGTTCAGAAAGTACACACACACACACACACACACACACGCGTGCGCCTTCTCTGTTGCAAGCCGCCACTGTGTGCATTCTGTTTGAACTGCAGATGCCGTGCTGTAAATTAAGTTGCTCAGTTGTACTTCACCCCGGCCACAGGACTGAGATGTCAGGCCTTCAGAAATGTCATCGGTGAGCGGCACGGTAACCGTTGCCTTGGTCACAGAGCGAGTCATTTCCCGTTCAGCCCCTTTTAGCTCCGGTGTCGGCGGTCGTGACCGTTTCTCCGTCGTGGTCTTTTCTCTTCCCTGCTTACAGGTCTGGCGGCAGGCGGGTCATTTACTAGTGGGGGAACATGGATTTGTGAAGGGACAAAAAAAAAGATTGACGGTTCCGCTCCTAAGAGGATCCGTCTGCTGTACCCTTGAACAAGGTCCTGACTGGTTTCAGAAAGACACTGAACTGATTCCTTCAATTGCATGAGTAAATCTATCATCTGCATTTCAGATGAGGCTGTTAATAGTAATAATTATAATTAGGCTGCCAAAATGTAATTACAGTATACGAACCAGTTTTTCGGTTGTAGTCCAGTTCTGAAGGACTGTCAGCAGAGAGCACAAATTCACTGGAACTTCTGTCCGCAGATATACGTACACGTTAATCGCAATATGTGATAGAATTTCCTATTTCTAATAAAATAAATGCTCCTGTATGTGTGTAATCCACTTCCTGAATGTGGCAATTCACTGGATTTTAAAAACATTAAATTGGAAGTAAATAATGCTTTGAAAATGATCATTTTTATTATTTCTCACGCTGCAGTTTGAAAGCAGTGAGGCAGACAGTCAGCGCCGTATATGGCTGCATCGGAGCTATATAAAGGGGAACGAGTCGATGATCTGTGCAAACTTCAGACAGGTCTGGAAACATAATATGGTCCTTTAATGCCTGCACTTCAGAGGGGAGTAAAATGCATTCATTATTGTGACCAGGAATACGGTGCCTGGTTGTCAGTCATTGTCTTTGCATGCTGCTGGTGAATATACCTGTCTGACCTGATCTGTGAGAAGCCAGCTATGAACATTCCTCTTCCTGCATATAGGCCACAAAGATAAAAATCAAATACAAAGTTCTGCACTGTGCTGTCGCACATCTCCTTTTCCTGATTTTTCGTCTTCAAGGCAACTTCGGACCCAGTTAAACAGGAATATTAATCATAAATGTTGTCTGGTTAGCTGGCTAGGTTAGTTACCAAGTGAGTTTTATTACATATTTTACTTATGTATACATGCATACCTGCTGTTTTCTAGAGATTGCAGTTTATCCTGTTATTATGTTTTGTCTCTTTTTTTTCTCAGTGACTTGATAATTCCCAGGTAAGACTTTACCAAGATGTTTAAAAACTCAGTTACTACTGAGTCAAAAAATTACTTTTGATCCATCAATCCAATCCATCATCCAATGGTTTATCCTGGACGGTGTAACTTAATGTCTTCATTACCTGCAGGAAATCTGTGCCTTATGCACAGGAAATGCAAACTCCACACACACAGAGTGGGGATGCAATTCGAACCTCCATCCCTGGAAGTGTGGGGCAGCGGTACTGCCTACTGAGGCAGCCAGGAGTAATACATTAATATCCCTTAATAATACATGGTCATAAAATATCTAACCTCAAGTCAATTTTACTGTTAAAATAAACCTTTATCAATGTTATAAATCAGGCAATTAAACACTGCGAAGCTGCTTTTTCAAACTGGTCTCAGCGGCGAGGCAGTAGGGTAACCAAGAGAGAATACATTTTACTTGCGGTGTGATGTGCGTCAGCACAGGTACATTCTGATCCTGTTTGCTACATTAAACTGTTTTCTTCTGCTTGTTTACTTTTCCTGGTTAGTATTATATTACTGACCCACACCTTTGTTCAATATTTCCCGTGCTGGTCCGTAGGAACACACATCACCTGGTGTGAGCGGAGGTGGCCAAAACTGACATGTGACCACGTTAGAAGAACGTGAAGGTTAATTTTAAACCATTAGGTGAGAGACATGCGCGTGCTACTGACCGATAAGAACAAATGTTGTATTGGTCTGACTGAATCCCACCGCCCCCCCCCCCCCCCCGCAATAGAGTCTTCCTATTTGGGTACCTTGAAAGAGCGCAAAAAATATTGGAACGGAAATTAAATCTAAATAATCTGGAGGCAACACATGGGCCCTGGTTTCAGTCGCTCACTGTCTCTAGGACGTCGAAGGAATGAAGGATGGGAGGCAGGAAGTGGATGGAAGCCGACAGATTTAGCCGAACGCTTGTTGTGCGTCCGCTGCAGTCGGTGTTGGCGTTGAGCCTGGACCTCGGGAGAGCCTGACTGACGGGGGCCGACTCCTTCATATGCAAATACGGCCCCCTGCAATTTACATCTCTCATGCTTGCAGAGATACAGACGTTCGTTTATAGCCCACCTCCAAAACTGTAGGAGGTTAGTCGTTTCATTCGCCTGATCGCTCGTCTCGATGTACTGCCTGCATGTAAATTGTTTTTATTTTCTAACCCGGGGAAAATCCACAGGCCGCAGGCACTCGCAGTTCCCCTTGCGCTTGTCTCCTTCCCCTAGCTGACTGCCCCCCCCCCTTGCTGTACCACGAACGCTGGTCTCTCTGGTGGCAGGTAAGGCATGGCAGGAGGGGAGGGGGAGGAGCTTGGCAGGTCTCCTGCGACAGGTATGCTAGAAGGTGGGGCGGGGCCACCTGTATCAGAGTCAGCCTGCCGGTCTGCGCTGCCACTGCTCCGTGGGTAGCTCACTCCGCTCAGGCTGAGCAGGGTCAAGGGGGGGAGGGCTCCGGGAAGGGTCCACCATGGAGCCAAAAGAGGCCGGGGGAGAGGGCGGGCCGGCTACCGGCGAGAAGAAGGTCCGGAAGATAAAAAGACCGAACGGGCTGTTTGTGAGACACTTAGAAAGGAGGAAGACCGACACCATCGTGGATGACGATGTGGCGAAGGCCGACGTCAACATCAGCACCCTGGTGCGGAGGACCCAGTCCGACAAAACGGAGTACAGCACCAAACTCAAAGGTAAAGCCACCCGTCACGGTCCCGCGGCTCCGCGCGCCGGCCCGATCGCCGGGGCTGCCTGTGTCTGAGCGGCTGTCAGCGGGAGGTCGGGGAGAGACGAGGAGATTCCAGGACAGTGATATTAAAACACAAAACAGAGAGAGAGAGCGAGAGGGGAACGAGCCCTGAGCAGGTGATGCTCAACACCTGTTGCGTTGTTATGTGCCAAACCTGGAGCGACTCTCGCGGGATGATGTCATACATGCAAACTGTGCACCAGCCTCAAACAGGATGGAAAGACGACAGGCCGGCAGTGGAGCATTGTGGCCACATTACCCCGAAGACACAAATTCCGATTTAGCTTTGAAATTTGTGATGGTCCAAGGTTGTCCTCGGTAAGTAAGGTCAGATCCCAGATCTGGGGGGAAAAAGACATAGAAACACAGTACAGGTGCCCCCCCCCCCATTCAGAGGATGTAAACGTGTTGATTTTTCAATACCGTACCTCTCTGACCCGAAGTACGCAAAGGTCACATGTTACCTGTTTGTCAGTTACCTGTTTGTCAGTTACCTGTTTGTCAGTTACCTGTTTGTCAGTGCCTGCTCAGCCACGTGGGGCTGCATAGCGCTGTGCCAGCAGGCTTCCCCGAAAATCCGTCTGTTCCCCATTATCAGCCGGTGTTGCGCTAAAAAATACAACATACCAGGTCACCATCCCGGCCTTTTCAAAGATAAGTGGTCGTCATCAATTCAAGTCGAGGACTAGAAGTTTGCTGGTGTTTTGCAAGGTTAGCAATACAAACATGTAGTTCAGGTGACCTGTCAGCTGACACGCACATTGAGGATTAGAGGTGAAAAACCATATCTAAGGTTGAGTTTCACAGCTTGGTTTGTTGGGACAGTTACTGTATGTCTGTGTAACATGCTGTTATCGACAACATGTTTTAGACTGCAAAAAACAGCTGTGCATTGTACGTGAAAGCGTTTATGATCTGGGAACGCAATCTGTTGGTAAAATTACCCATGCCTTGGACTTAACACAGCTGACCAAGAGCTGTGTCATCACAAATATTGACACATCCCAGGCTACAGAAAAGGGAAATGGCTTAGCTGTTCCTCACATCTGCGAAACAGGTCGGTCGAGTCTCGCGTAGACACTTAAAACCTTAAAAACGATTGATACAGGTCAGCTGTTCGTATGTGTAGGACACTGCCTCCTTTCCGATGTACTGTATAGAACGAGGACAATAAAGAGAGCAAAGGAGAACGAAAACATACGGCAGAGTATATATTTACACAGAGTACAGGGCAGCTTCGTTGCGCTAGGCTGGAGGGACCTGGTCTTACACAGGAGTTGACTTTTGTCTCGCGATCTCATACAGTAGTGATGCTTGCCTTCATCCCTCCGGCTTCCTGTTGAACACAGGGACATGCCTTTTGCTGACAAAGGCTCTCATGGGCGCCTGCGAGGTAGAATGAAAGAGGCATGTAGCCAGGCCAACACGCGCCCCGGATAGCTTTGCTTAGCGACGAGCCGGCATTTTCCGACCGATGGAAGGACAGGCCTGTTATTGTTGGCTTCTCCGCTGAGGGCCTGCTGTGGGATACTACGTTTTTTTGACTGGGGGGGGGGGGTGGAGACATGTGATCCAGCCGGCCTTGTCCCACGGGCTTCCACTTCATCGTCTCAAAGGGCAGCTTGGTAAAAGACGTGTATCCTCTTTCATGGGAACTCCTGTGCATGGAATCGATCCCCCCGAACACAAGTGGAGCTGCGCTAAATGGTTTTATTCACCGCCAAGTTATAATATTACCATATTCACTACAAGCTCGTCCTCAATATGCTCCCCCTCTATAACCTAGAGGTTTAATTTCACCAGTGGGGTGGCATTTAATGCCACCAGATGGAGGCTGTCTCAAGCGGGGGTGGCGGCGGAGGGAGGGGGGTAACATTGGTAACACTTGTCATCACCGCTCTAGATATTGCAGGGAAGTGTGGAATACCATAGATGCAATGATGTCGTCAGTAAGAAAAGGACAACTTCAGTGTCATCTCAAGCGCTGATCTTGTTTTATCTGTGAGCAAATGTAACACACTGATATTGGCTATTTTTTGGAGGATAGGTATGTCGTTTTAAAGGACTCTATAATCAAGGGTAAAGGGCAGTCGCGGAAAACAGCTCATTTAAATTGGATTCCCTTATCAGCTCTAGGTCACGGTTGCAATTGATAGTCTTTGCCTCTGTTCCCCTAAGGGCTCCATGGGCAGGTGACCCATGTGATCTATCAGGCCGCATCACTTCCTGTCGGCCGCGACACACTTCCGCCGCTCCGTTAGAAGCAGGGCCCTGAGTGAACTTGGAAACAAAACCCCTGCCATTCGTGTCCGCAGTGTGCAGCGCTAAACTTCTGTGAAGTCCACTTGGGCTGGAATTTAGGAAATTCCCCCCGTTTGATCCTCCCCTGAAAAACCCGCCCTTAAGAAAAACGAAGTGCGAGTGAATGGAGGCTTTCTGAATTCGTTGCCGTGGGTGACAACGCCGCCTGTGGCTAGTGTCCAGGTGTTGAGGGGAGGCGGAGCACCGCATGTCGTCAGGCAGGCCGCAAAGCGGTGGACGTGGCCCGATGGATACCACCCAAGCTGGAACGGGTGCAAAGTCCCAGAAAGCCAGAATGCATTGCATCACCGAGTCCTGATTGGCTGTGTAACATAACACCGGGGAAAGAATTTGAGCTGTATGCTAATGAGGCACAATGAGGTCATTCCTGTTCCCATATTCACATTCCACCTTGACTCTTTGTAGTTACACAATTGATAAGAAGTCGATTACGAAAGTGCTACACCTGACTCTCATGTTTAATTCAGATGGTTTGAAAGTATTATGTATTAAGTAACTGTGTTCTGGTAGGACTGTGTGACACGTGTCTTCACACACCTTCATTGACTAACACTCAACACCCAGGCAGGATGCTGTGGACAGTGAACTGGATCGTGCATGTGCAGTTAGTCCTATTTAATACCACACAAAAGATCGTGTAAACGCTAACCATGTTCTCAGTGGAGAATCCGAACCAAATTAGGATGCATTTTCCGTGGATAAGTGCTGGAATTAAAGCAACCAAAAAAAAAAAAAAGATGTTAATAGGCCAGACGGTAAAGCCAGAGAAGCCGAGTTCAGTCTAAGTGTCGCCCGTTTTCAGGAAAAATGGCACCCCAGTCCATGTCCTCCACGTCGTCCACCACGTCTCTGGACCTGGACCCAGAAGAGCAGCGAGACAGGAAGATGAGCAGAAGGTCGAAGGTCATTCAGGAGCTGTTGCAGACCGAGAGGGACTACCTGACCGACTTGGAGCTGTGCATCAGGGAAGTTCTCCTGCCGCTGCGAGAGGCCCAGGTACCCTTCCGACATCATTAGAGCGTAAACATCAGCGACCCTTAAAGCATCCGCGGGGAGTTTTACAATTTCCCAAAGAATACAAATCATGTGCTTACTGGCAGCATGGCGATGCCCAGTTTGTCCGTGTGCTACTGAGTGCGGCCTTCTGCTGAAACGGATAACATCATTATTTTTGGTTATGACCCTGTCCCACGTCTTAAATATGGTATCTGCTCATTATAATTAATAAGTAACGGATCCTTTAACAGGCAATGGATGGAGGAGCCAGATTGAGGATTAGCATTGACTCGTCGGGGGGGTACTGACCATATGCCCCCCCCCCCCTTGTTGGCTGCCCACCCTCCCCACAGGTGGTGGAAGTGGACCGTCTGTTCTCCAACATGGAGGCCGTGCGGGACCTGTCCTACAAGCTGCTGGGGGACCTGCGGGAGGCCATGGCCGAGACCAACCCCGAGGCGCAGGCCGTCGGTAATGTCCGTCGACGAAGTTTCAAGTTTATGAGGCAGCCGGTGTGGTACAAGTATTTGGAGAAGGAAAAAACAAATGAGAGGTATGCAAAGCCGGCCCAGTCATGTTTAACTGAGGAGTCGCTCTGTGTGTGTGTGTGTGTGTGTGTGTGTGGGTGGGTGTCCATCCGCAGGTGACATCTTCATACAGGCCAAAGCGGAGCTGGAGGATGTGTACAAAGAGTACTGCTACGAGCACGACGACGCGAACGCCCTGCTGAAGACATACGAGAAGGACGAAGAGATCAGGCAGCATTTCAGGAACCGCGTCTTAGCTCTCAAGTAAGTGCTCAGCTAATTAAATACCTCTGGGTTTATCTCAGGAACTAAATCTCATAGGAACACTTGAAAAAGTATTTGGGGGAAAAAATATGAAAAATAAATTCCCCAAATGTCCAACGCTTTAAACATTTTGCGTAATATCTAAGCAGCATAGTTAAATCCGTTCTTTTTCTGTCTTTCACAGGAAAATATATGACCAGGAGTAAGTACTTGACCTATTACTGTTAAGTGATTAATGTGAAGTGGCCCACCTGACATAATTGATGGATTAAAGGATTAATGCTTCAGTGGTACTTGCGTCCTCTCTCTCTTCATCGAGGTATTATTCATCAGCTCCAAAATATGATTTATGGTTTGAGTAATGCCATCAGATGACCGTGTGGTCAGCTGACGGAGCATCGGCGGATACGATATGAGTACCGCCACATTCCTGTGCGATGCCACATCCGCCCGTTGCTGCGTTTGCAGGGGCAAGTCCAACCTGCTGGACATGGGCTCACTGCTCATCAAACCCGTGCAGAGGGTGATGAAGTACCCACTGCTTCTGGGCGAGCTGTGGCAGGCCACACCTGAGGATCACCCCGACCGGCAGCCACTGGAGGAGGCCCTGGCCGCCGTCAAGGTCGTCAACATCAACATCAACGAGTTCAAGAGGAGGAAGGACATCGGTGGGTCTTAACCCGGGGCTTCAGGATGAGCCGTCTTATCAAATCGCCCTTAATGTGTGCGTGAGGGCGCTGCTATGGATTCGCGGTATTCCTGCTTTACTGCCTACGTTTTCTCAGATGTGCTTTTGGCTGAAGGAGACCCCAACTGTACCAGCCATAAATGTATCTGGGTAGGAGTGGAATCTCCTCCAAGACGCTGTAATCTGGTGGTGTGCTGTGATGTGGGGAACCCAGCCGAACCGGCGCTGCCATGCATGCAGAAGTTCAGGCGCTCCGTCTGGCAAACAGACGACACTCATTTATCGAGTTACATGGCACGGATTTTCCGTGTTCCCCTTTGCAACACATAGAGCGGCGCGGGAAAATCACCACCATGTCTTTTTAAGCGCAGATCCCTCTCTACCCCTCCCCCAACCCCCCAAAGGGAACAAAGCCCATTCTGCTTACACATTATATCAATCTAAAGGCAACCCCCCCCCACCCCCGCTGCCGTTGCTTAGAAGCAATCTTGGTAATTACAAAGGAAACAGTGGTGTATACCTTGCCCATCACACTGAGGTGTGCGTGTGCTGTCCCTGTTTCCCAGTGATGAGGTATATCAAACCCGACGAGGAGGAGAACCTGATTGCAAAGCTGAACAAGTTCAGCATCCACTCCATCCGGAAGAAGTCTGACAGGCTGACCAGCTACCTCAAGATGCTTACAGGGGCGGAGCCACTGGTATGCCACCTCCTGTGACACACATAGCTGAGTGTCCCAGCCTGCGCTCGTGCCATGTGCCTCTGAGGAGTCGTCTATTGGGACTGGCACCTTTTACAAAGGGGAGGTTCCACGCTAGCTTTCAAAACTTGTCTTTTTATTATTGCCTGTCAGATACAGATCTGTTGGCAGGGTAATGGGCCCACAGAGCTGTTTGCTCTTCACCATTTCCTTATCGCTAGTGTGTTAGGAGACCAAAGGTTCAGCATCCATTCTAGGTGATGCAAGCCGCTTCTGAATGAGCCCCTGCCAGTGAGCTGGTTGAATGTTTAACTCCCCCCCCCCCCCGCCCCGATCCAGGTCAAAGATGAAGCCTTTGATAGAGAGGAAAAGCTTTTCCGGAGCCTCGAGAAAGCCGTGAGGCTGCTGGTGAAGAACGTGTGCTGTTACCTCCATCACGTCCAGGTCAGACGTCAGACTCCTGCATGGCTGACTGAGTAACCCTGACCCTTGTCTTGCCCCTATGGGAACATCGGGTATCTCTGATAAGGCCCCTATAACAAAAGAACAGACGGCAAGGTTGTGTGGATGTTAATGTCTTGGATTTAGAGTGACCTGTCGTGTTTGAGCATGGGAGTCATCCAAGAAAACCTGCAATAATCTCCAGTCTGAGAGCTGTGGAACATGCGCTACTTTCTTTCTTGAAAATGTTTAATTTGAAGCAAATATACAGTAATTAAAAGGTGTAAATCAATGGGATAAACAGATGCCCTGTTCTGCTCAGAAGCCACAAGTGTGTTTCAGCACTAAAAGGTTTTAAAATAGTTTAAACGTTGAATGAAGACGCAGAAGACGAGCCTGTGAGGCTTGACAGACTGCTCTTGGTGCTTCTCACAGGAAATGACTTCTCTGGCCACAGACCATGCTCAGGATCTGGAGAAGATAATAGTGGATCCAGACAGGATGGACTGCAATGGGTCTATCCACAGGAAGAACGGGGGTAGTCCGTACCGGCACTTTGTGAGTTTTGGCACTTTATGGGATCATTAAAATATAAAATTTGCGGGTGTGTTTCTAGAAAATGGTTCCAGCGGTTTGTGAGTGTGCTTCTAGATAGTTACAAAAGTTTGTGTGTGTGCTTCTAGATGGTTTCAGTAGTTCGTGAGTGTGCTTCTAGAAGATGGTTCCAGTAGTTCGTGAGTGTGCTTCTAGAAGATGGTTTCAGTAGTTTGTGAGTGTGCTTCTAGAAGATGGTTCCAGTAGTTTGTTAGTGTGCTTCTAGAATATGGTTCCAGCTGTTTGTGAGTGTGCTTCTAGAAAATGGTTCCAGCAGTTTGTGAGTGTGCTTCTAGAAAATGGTTCCAGCAGTTTGTGAGTGTGCTTTAGATTGGTCCAGCAGTTTGTGAGTGTGCTTCTAGAAGATGGTTCCAGTAGTTTGTGAGTGTGCTTCTAGAAGATGGTTCTAGCAGTTTGTGAGTGTGCTTTAGATTGTTCCAGCAGTTTGTGAGTGTGCTTCTAGAATATGGTTTCAGTAGTTTGTGAGTGTGCTTCTAGAGGATGGTTCCAATAGTTTGTGAGTGTGCTTCTAGAAGATGGTTCCAGTAGTTTGTGAGTGTGCTTCTAGAAGATGGTTCTAGTAGTTTGTGAGTGTGCTTCTAGAAGATGGTTCCAGTAGTTTGTGAGTGTGCTTCTAGAATATGGTTCCAGCTGTTTGTGAGTGTGCTTCTAGAAAATGGTTCCAGCAGTTTGTGAGTGTGCTTTAGATTGTTCCAGCAGTTTGTGAGTGTGCTTCTAGAAGATGGTCCCAGTAGTTTGAGTGTGCTTCTAGAAGATGGTTTCAGTAGTTTGTGAGTGTGCTTTATACTGTTCCAGCAGTTTGTGAGTGTGCTTCTAGAAGATGGTTCCAGTACTTTGTGAGTGAGCTTCTAGAAGATGGTTCCAGTAGTTTGTGAGTGTGCTTCTAGAAGATGGTTTCAGTAGTTTGTGAGTGTGCTTCTAGAAGATGGTTCCAGTAGTTTGTGAGTGTGCTTCTTGATGCTTCCAGCAGTTTGTGAGTGAGATTGTTTCTGGACTGTTCCCAGCAGCATGTAAGTGTGTTTGTAAATGGTTTCAGGAGATTATATGTATGCTTCTAGATAGTTCTTTCCCTTGTGTCTTCAAACCTGAAGCTATAATAGTACTATAAATGGCACACTGGGCCTATGTGCTGTTTCTCAGTGACTGCTTCACATCAGCTGTCAAGTATGTACAAATCAAGCTGGTGTTATGAATGCATGCAGCGTGTGAATATGTGTTTCTCCCTGGCTTGTTTACATTTGCATGACTTCTCCTTTCTGTGAGGTGGTTTTGGGGGTGGGGGGGGGTGCATGGGTCATATGACATAGAAACACCAGCACCACTGTTAGTACAGGTCACGCTCCATTCGGCATGGAAAAATGACCCAAGAATCAGGGATGGAGGTTAAAGTTTAGCCAAAACCATGGGGAAGAAATGAGATAATAATGCTTTTATATACAGTGTCTTGCCGTTTCCTCTCAATTTATGCTACTGGGTGTCTTTGACGGAACTGTTATGGTCTGCTTAAGTTATTTTCCTTGAGGAATAGCAATAACAGAGCCCCTTTCTGGGAATCAAACCAACAACCTTCTGGTCCTCCATCACTACGGCCCCACTGGTATTTTTATGAAAGCTGTAATACACAGGTGAGAAGTTTCCCTGAGCAGCCCGCAATTACCCAGTGTCCTCGCTGTCCTCCCACAGAAGGAGAGTCTGGAGCGCTTGGTGCTCACTCCCCTGTCGACGCTGCAGGGCATGTTCCCTGGGCCCCAGAAGCTGATCCAGAAGCGGCAGGACAAGCTGTTGGACTGCTATAGCCGGCAAGAGAGGCCGGGCTCTGAGGAGCAGCTGCTGGCCCGGCGTGACTATGAGGCCCTCAATGCCCAGCTGGTGGACGAGCTGAAGCGATTCAACTGCGCAGCACGGGCCATCCTGGACAACTGTCTACACTGCCTGGCGGGCCTGCTCAGAGGCCTGCTGGAAGCCTCCACGCAGAGGGTCCCCACCATTCAGCAGCTGCCGGTGTGTGTGTGTGTGTGTTTGGGGGGCGGGGTGAGGCTTCATGTAAGGGTGGGGCTAATAAGTTAGGGGTGTGGCTAACTGGATAGGGGCGTGGCTTCTGTATTGAGTGGGTATCCGAGAATGAGGGAAATCATAAGAGGATAGATTTGGGTATGGGTGGTAGGGAGGTGTCCCTACCAATACAGTGGGAATACTGGGCATGTTTAGGAGGCTGGGGCTTCAGGGCTGATTCGGTCCCCACCAATGTTGAAACCAAACCTATGCCCTTGGAAAAATGCCCTTGAGACAGTGCCTGCAGTTCAGCAATCTTGCTCTGTTTTTTCCCTTGTGACAGTAAACGGACGCCATAGATTGACAGAGGTTCATCTCGGAAGCTCCAAACGGATTAATTTAATGTCTGCTGACTAACCTGCCTAATTTAAGATTCATATCCCCCAA